GCTCAAAACAAACCAATACCGGTAATAAACCTCATATCAAACAAAGCCTCGTCCTAAAACCTTCATACACTGCCAATAATGAAAGAAACATGCAGAACTCACAACCATTCATTAGATTAACAAGTTGTGGAACTCCCTCTCCTTGATAAGAACTATAGCAAATTTCTAAGCAAATCAGCAACAATATCCTTTCAACCATGTTGTAATCAATTCCGATAGTATCCATTCTAGGCCCAATGACCTCATCTCATCCAACACGACCACTTTAGCGACATGACACATCAATACACTCTAAAGCCACAACTTGTGTAATCCATGCACCAATAAGCAACATTCCAAATGTACTCAAACGTGGAAAATAACATCAAACAAGAGAAATGTCTCGCAAGCTCAACGGGTATCACCACAACGCAATGCTAAGAACCCATAACACACCGTAGAACCAAAACACACGAATCTAACATAAAGGGTCATACTTCTATATAACTCTGCTATAATGTGTGACCCCATCCAAACGCTGGTCCATATTATATACCTCAAGCCACCCCGCTCAAAATCCATAACCACTCAAAATTCGACATCAAGTAACCAAAGTGCATTACCATAACCACGGAGGGCAAATAACATAATGCCACAATCCGGAAAGAACATAGCCAACGCGCAATCAATCACGCAATACCCAAATACTCATCTTGCTCAAATTTTCGCTATAAAGCCCAAATAGAACCGCACCATGTGTACATTTAACCAACGAATCACAAATCCTTGTAACATAGAAGGGTAACTCATAGATCATTTCAAAACACGAATAAGCTCAACAACAACTGAATGGCACATCCCTCAACAATAGCAGTCCAAGCACCCGCACCTGCGATCCTCACGCCCAGATCCCTCTCTCGCTTCTGTGATGGCACTGCCACTTTTGCGAATCCGTACCTGCGCTCAACACTCCGCAGGTGCGGTCATACCAAAACCAGAAAATCTTCAGCAATACAACATAGAATGAAAATGATCTGAACCTCGTCTGAAACTCACCCAAGCCACTCGGGACCCAGTCCAAATATACCAACAAGCTCCATAACATAGTATGAACCTACTCGAGGCCTGAAAACACACATAACAATATCAAAACGCCGAATCAATACCTCAATTCGAAATCATTGAACTTTGAAACGTCAACTTCCATAACTGATGCCGAAACCCATAAAATCACGTTCGATTGACCTCAAATTTTGCACACAAGTCACATTTGACATTACAGACCTGCTCGAAATTCCAAAATCAGAATCCGACCCTGATATCAAAAGTCAACTCCCGGTTAAACTTTCTAAAATTCCAACTTTTGCCATTTCAAGCCAAATTCTACTACAGACCTTCAAATCACAATCTGGACGCGCTCCAAAGTCTAAAATCACCCAACGGAGCTAACGGAACCATCAGAAATCCAATCCGAGGTCAAATACTAAAAAGTCAAACTTGGTCAAATCTTTCAAGTTTAAAGCTTCTAGCTGAGAATCATTCTTTCAAATCAATTCCGAATTACCTGAAAACCAAAACCGACGATTCACATAAGTCATAATACATCATACGGAGCTATTCATGATTGAAAACTACCGATCGAAGTGCAATTGCTCAGAATGACCGGTCGGGTCCTTATATTTAATCCATCTCTTCATGAGTTGTGGGAGAAATCTAATGCAATAGTAGTGCTTTTATGGATAATGAATTATGTTAGTAATAAGTTATTGAGTGGTATAGTATATGCTATAGACACTTAGAAGGTATGGACAGATCTTAGGAAAACTTTTGATAAGGTCGATTGATCTAGAATATTGTATATTGCTACCTTAACTCAAGAAATTTTGCCTGACGCGGTATATTTTTCAAAATTAAAGGAGTTATGGGCAGAGTTTGATGTTTTAATACCCTGTCCTGGTTGTGGTTGTGAAGAGTCTAAAAATATGTTGAGCACTTTGAATCTCAAAGGCTTATGCAATTTTTAATGGGACTAAATAGGTCGTATGAGGACCATACAAGGTTCCTACACATGATGGCAAGAGGTAATTTCTACCCTTAGTAGATGATCATTCCAGGTATACTAGGATATTTTTGTTTCCCTCAAAGGGTGAGGTGATTGTTGTGTTATGGAACTTCCTGCTTGTGGTTAAGAATGTGTATTCCTGCTCGGTTAAAGTCCTTAGAACTAACAATGGTTGTGAGTTCTTTAATTCATAGATGACTGAGCTACTTCAATCTTTTGGAATCATTCATCAAAATTCACATGTCTATACCCCTCAGCAAAATGGAGTTGCAGAGAAGAGACACATATATATTTTGGACACTACAAGGGCTTTGAGGTTCCGAGCATCAGTTCCTCTAAAGTTTTGGGGAGAGTGCTCCTTAACTGTTGTTTATGTGATCAATAGGTAGCCAACACACACTCTTTAAGCAGGTGTCCTTATGAATTATTGCATGGTCATCCACCTTCCTTGAGTCATTTAAAAGTATTTGGTTGCCTAGGATATGTCACGGACTTGAAAAGAGGAGATAAATTCTAACCTAGAGATGTACCTACTATATTCCTTGGTTATATTATGACACAGAAGTAATATAAAATGTATGTCATTCTTTAAAGATAATTTCAAGTTAGCTGAGAAGTGGTGTTCAAAAAAGATGTATTTCCATTTAAATCTTTTCTTGCTACCATGTCCTATATATTTCCATTCCTAGATCTAGCCACTATCCCTAAATTAAACTGTAGCGTGGAACCTTCCTTTTTCCTACTGAACCATCTCCCGCACTGGATAGTGTTGGTTTTGCTGATGCAGCTGTTGAATCTACCTTGGCAGAAGCTAATGCAGGTACTACTACCATGTCTGATATGCCCTCTGTTGTTGCACCTACTATGGTAGCTGATGTTCCTAGTTCCTTAGCTCAGGCTATTCATCTAACTCCAACTGAGCCCGAAGGAGGCAGGAAGTCAATTGGAACTAGTAAACCATCAGTTTGGCTGAAAGACTATGCTACTCAGAAGCAGAGTAATATTACCTGCTGCTCCGTAGTTCTCTCTCTAAAAAGTTTCTCTCAGTGCACGTTAACGTGGCCCTGCTAACGTACGCAGTTTGAAGTCATGGGAGGGAGAGGTCGACCCAAGAGGAACCTTATGAAGGTTCCATTCATTGACCAGAGATTAGCGGAGGCTCGTATGCAGTATTGGAGCTGTTTGTCTCACCAAAAGGGGTGAGAATTGAAGAACCAGCTAAGACAGTTACTCCGAGGAACATGCAAAGTGAGCAGAGCAAGATGGAAATTAGATCCATCACTAAAAAATGCTAAGATGAAAGCAGTGATAGCTACACCAGTAGCTGCTAGAGATGTAGGTGGCGGATCTGGGAGTGGGAAAACTCAACCATAGCTGAAGACATCAAATAGCAATGAAACAGTGCCATGCAAATCTGGCACTGTAGAAATTCCCAGCGGTATTGAGCAAGTAGAGAAGGTAAACGGTAATCAATCATGGGCGAATGTGGTAGTAGGGAATAAATTGGCAAGGAAAGGGATGAATCTACAATTTATTGCACCAGTGATTCAAAATGGGGAGAAAATTGTGAAATTAGATTTAGAGGACATGAACATGAAAATGCTAAATGGAGCTCAGCAATTAATCTGTATGTAATAGGAGATTCTCCCACTATAGGAGCAATGGAAAGATTCATAAGCTCAGTGGGTAAGTTCTCAACTAAACCTCACATCTATTATTATAATGATGATTATTTTGTGGTTAGATTTGCTAATTTGGAAGAAAGGGATCAAGTGTTGTTTACTGGGCCTCATACTGTTAATAATCGACCCATAGTAATGAAAGCATGGACATCTAACTTCAATCTGCATGATGAAGTTTTGAGAACCATCCCTTTGTGGGTAAGATTGCCTAATCTTCCACTCAATTGTTGGAGTATGAAGGCTTTAAGTAAGATTGGGAGTGCTAGGAAATCCTGTGTATGCTGATGAATGCACTACTGGTTCAGTCAGAATATCTTATGCAAGAATGTTAATTGAGATGGACATCACTAAACCTCTCCCCCGAAGTGTGAAGCTACAAGATCCAATAGGCAGAACAATTGAATAGGAGAATAGCTATGATTGGGAACCAACATATTGTAATAAATGTCTAAAGATAGGGCATAATTGCAATGAAAACAAAGCTCGACAACCTCAGAAGATGGTATACCAAGGGAGAATAAACAAAGGCAAACAAGTTTGGCTAACGGCAGATAGAGATGGCTCAAAGGAAAATAAGCAGGAGAAGGAACAAACAAAGCAGACTGAAACAACAAAACCACCAGAGAATGAGATAATGCAAGTTGAGAGTGCTAAACAAGCTGATGAAGCAGGGTGACAACTGTTACTGGTAAATCAGCAGCAAGATTAGCCAAAACAAAGCAAGTTGAAGAGCAGAATCTAACTGGAAATAATGGCTTCCAATCCTTAGGAAGTGAACAAGCAATAAATGATCCAGGAACTAGCAGTATGCAGATGAGGAGCTTTGGGGTGCAGGGGCTGTATCAGGACACTCAATTCATACCAGTATGAGTGTGGTAACATGGAACGTTAGGGGGTTAAATAAAGCTTATAAGCAAAACGAGATAAAGGAGTTCATTTAGCAGAATAAAAAGGCAGTGATAGCTTTAGTTGAGCACAGAATAAAAGAGCAGAAAGCCAGCACTATTATGAAGAAAATTGCTCCTGGTTGGCGGTGGATATCAAACTTTAACAATAACAATAAGAGCAGAATTTGGGTAATATGGGATCCAAGGATTTATGTGTTCGAGCCAATTGAGATAGATGAATAGATCATACATGGACAGATTAGAATACTCTCAAAACTACTAACAGTTGGCTTTGCAGCTGTTTATGGGTTGCATACTATCAAAGACAGATTTAAAATGTGGAAGAAGTTGAGATAGATACATAGTCTGCAGCAAGGGCCTTGGCTAGCAATGGGTGATTTCAATGTTGTCTTAAATATCCAAGATAGGCAACATGGTAATATGATACAGTATATGGAAACAGAGGACTTTAGGGAATTCATGGAGGACACAGGTATGAATGAATTGCATACTGTGGGAAGAGACTACACATGGACTAACAATCATACATACAGCAAAATAGACAGAGGACTAGTGAATTCTAGTTGGATGTTGACAATGCCTAGTTTGCAGATACAAATACTAGAGCCATCTGTGTCTGATCACTCTCCACTTAAGTTAGTGATTACACAAATGCAGATGAAGAAAGCTAGGCCATTCAGATTCTTTAACTGTATTGCTGAACATCCTCATTTTATAAATGAAGTTGATCAAGCTTGGAATACAACTAGAATAGATGGAAAGATGCAGGGAGTCTGGAGTAAGCTAAAAAGAGTAAAGGAAGTAATCAAAGGGCTTAACACTCAGCACTATAAAGGGGTTGATAATAGAGTTAAAGAGACCAGAAGGGAGCTGCAGGAAGTTCAGGAGAAGATGAGATGCAGACTGCAGAATGCAGAGTTAATTGAGGAAGAATAGGAACTAAGAAGTAAGCTAGAAAAATGGATACTGATTGAGGAGAGTATACACAGGCAAAGGTCAAGAGTCCAATGGCTGAAACTTGGTGACTCCAACTCTGCATATTTCTTTTCTCAAGTGAAGAATAGTAATAGTTTGAATGGTACTCATACTCTCACTAATGATATGGGGGTGCAGTTACATTTGGAAGAGGACATAGAGGCAGAAATACTGGGCTACTATAAGCAACTGTTGGGGTCCAGAGCATCAGCAATTCCGGCCACCAATCCAAATGTAATGAAGAGTGGGGCAGTCCTAAATGGAGAACAGTAAGTCCACCTTATACAACCAGTGACAAGGCAAGAGATATGTGTAGCTTTGAAAGATATCAATGATATGAAGGCTCCTGGGTATGATGGACTTTATTCAGTATTTTTTAAGAAGTCATGGCAAGTCATAGGTGAAGAGGTAACACAGGCTGACATGGATTTCTTTGATACAGCCCAAATGTTTAAGCCTATTAACTGTACCTCGATTACCTTGATCCCTAAAGTTAGCAATCCTACTAACATTAAAGAATATAGGCCTATCTCATGTTGCACAACACTGTATAAAGTGATTGCCAAAGTACTGACTAAGAGGCTTCAACAAGTTATGGATGCCTTAATTGACAAGACACAGTTTGCTTTTGTTCCTGGAAGTGTGATTGTTGATAACATCATCCTAAGTCATGAATTAGTCAAAGGATATGGAAGGAAAGGAGTGTTACCTAGATGCATAATGAAACTAGATATGCAGAAGGCATATGACTCTATTGAATGGCCATTTCTAGAATAGATTTTGAATGCATTGGCTTTCCCTGAACAGTTTGTTAAGTGGATCATGACATGTGTGCAGAGTGTTACATATACAATCATGGTGAATGGTTCAACAACTCAGCCATTTGAAGCTAGGAAGGGGCTTAGGCAAGGGGATCCACTATCCCCATTCCTATTTATTTTGGCAATGGAGTATCTGACAAGAAGTCTGAAAACTTTGAATCAGATACCAGATTTTAACCATCACCCCAAATGTGCAAAGTTGCAAATAATGCAGCTTGGATTTGCAGATGATCTTTTGTTGTTTTGCAGAGGTGACATTGGATCAATTAAGTTGTTATACAATTGCTTCATGGAATTTTCAAAAGCATCAGGGCTGGTGATTAACAAGAACAAAAGCTCTATATTCTTTGGATGGGTATCACATGATATACAGGCAGACATAATGGAATTTCTGGGCATTCAAAAAGGAGAGCTGCCAGTAGATACTTGGGAGTCCCATTAAGCTACAAAAGAATCTCACTAGGCCAGTGCCAACCTCTAATAGACAAACTAGTGGGCAGAATAACATCCTGGACAGCTAAATTCCTATCATATGCATGAAGGATTCAACTTATCAAGAGTGTGTTGTTTTCTATCCAGACTTACTGGGCTCAGATCTTTATGTTACCAAAGAAAATTACAAAGTTGATTGAGGCAATGTAGAAGTTTTATGGACAGGGGAAAGTAGTGTGTCAAAGAAAGCATTACTAGCTTGGGAGAAAGTTTGTCTACCTAAATCAGCAGGAGGCTTCAATGTTATGAATATCAGCCTATGGAATAAAGCAGCTATAAGTAAACAGTTCTGGAACCTATGTAAAGAGAAGAACAAACTTTGGATACAACGGGTACACAGCTATTACATAAAGGATAAAAACATATGGGAAGTGCAACTGAATCAAGCATCGTAGATCATGAGAAAGATTGTGAAAGCTAAAGAGAGTTTTGAGGCTGCAGCGTACAACTATGAAGATATAAGAAGAATGAGTAAATGCTCTATTAAGCATATCTACCATAAGCTACGAGGAACTTTTAGCAAAGTGAGCTGGAGAAGAGTGGTATGTAATAATGCAGGGTGTCCTAAGTGGATCTTCATGCTAACTATGGTAGCACATGGGAAACTATACACTAAGGATAGATTGAAAAAGTGGGGCATACAAACTGATCAAGAATGTGTGCTATGTAAGCAGGCAAATGAGTCTATCCAGCATCTATTCTTCAAATGTCAGTATGCAGGAAAAATATGGAAGAGTTTGCTAGAATGGCAAGGTGTAAGAAGAACCATATATGGGTGGACAGATGAACTAAAATGGGCAGAAAATTGGACATGGAGAAGGAATGGAAAAACAGAACTATATAAGATGGTACTAACGGGATGTGTTTATTATGTTTGGCAAGAGAGAAATGGCAGAATCATCCAAGACAAAGTGAGAAGATGGGAGACAATTGGCAAGCTGATCATACAAGAAGTATACTGTTGAAGCAACAAGAATATAGAAAAAGCTTTACGTAGTCTTTATTATTACCCAATGCAATAGGTAGAAGCTAGTGAGTCTAACAGTATGATGTAAAAGGGGAGAGGAAGTATAGGAAGCATAGAAACATGTATGTAAGGGTTTTTTTGAGTTACTTGTAAATATTTTCCCTGGTATATGAAAGTTTCAATTACCAAAAAAAAACTGCTGCTCCCTCATTTAGGAATGCTCAAGCTGCATATTCAACCATTGAGGAGCCTAAGCCTTACTCTGAAGCAGTGAAGCATAAGCACTTATTAGAGGCTATGCAATCTGAGATTGAAGCACTAGAAGACATTAACACTTGGAGCATTGTTGATCTTCCTCCTGGCAAGGTTCCTAGTGGCTGCAAATGGGTGTACAAAATAAAGTACACTGCTTTTGGATTTGTAGAGAGATATAAAGCCAGGCTAGTGTCTAAAGGCTATAGTCAACAAGAAGGCCTGTATTACAGACCTTCTCTCTTGTGGTCAAAATGGTCATAATTAAGTCTGTCAGTTCTGTTTCAGCAGCCAAAAACTGGCCTATTTTCTAGATGGATGTCCATAATTCCTTTCTAAAGGGTGACCTATTCGAAGAGGTTTATATGGATATCCCTCAGGGGTTTGCTAGCCAGGGAAGGGTACAAAAAGTCTGCGACTTCATAAGTCATTGTATGGCCTAAAGCAAGATGCTAGGCAGTGTGATAAAAACCGACAAATGCCTTGGTGGACCTTGGCTTCACTCAGAATTATTTTGATTATTCTCTTTTTACCAAGAGGGAACATGTTGCATTGGTGGTTGTCCTGGTCTTTGTAGATAACTTGGTGGTGACAGGTAGCTACCCTAATCTAATTGTGACAACCAAGAATGACAAGAAGCTCAAGTTCAAAATGAAGGATTTGGGGGAATTTATATTCTTCCTAGGTATAGAGTTTGCCATGTCAAGAAAGGGAATAGTTATGAGTCAAAGAAAATATGCACTAGAGCTCATCTCTGAAATAGGCGTGGAGGATCCAAAATAGCTGGTTCTCCATTAGAATCTAATATCAAGCTCACATCTGATGAATATGATTCCTTTATAAAAGGAGGTTCAGTACGTGAAGTGCAAAGGAAGACAGTCTATTAGAAGATGCAAGTCAATATGCCGATCGACTTTTTTAAAACTAACGGAATAGAATTACGGCTTTAGTCGAGTGACACACTATTCAAGTAATCTTTTCAAACCTATTCCTTGTGGGTTTAGACCCCCAACCTAGTTGGGTTATTATATTTGACATCGACTGCCTTACATCATTTATATAGGTGTAATTTGAGCGTATCAATTTTTGGCGTCGTTATCGGGGAATACAATTTTTAATTTACTAACTAGTATGTTTTTTTTCTTTACGCCATCTTCTATTCCATCACACTTTGCTTGTTTTGCTTGGTTTCATTAGGTAAGCATGGGCGAGCTGGATATTGAGAATGTGTTTGTGGATATGGATGAGTATATTGAGGATACAATTTCCATTGTCCCTCCTAGAGTTGACGCTACTACCTTCACAACTGAACATAGTCTAATCCTAATGCTAAAGGTAGAGGGGTTCTTCCGAAATTCCACCGACGATGACCCGACACAACACCATAGAAACTTTTTGGGTGTGTGTGCAATGCATAAGCAGAATAGTGAGGATATTCAAATACTCTTTAGCCAAAGAGGCAAATAATGGATCCAAAATATGCCTCCTAACTCCATCCACACTTGAGCCGAACTTGTGCAAGTTTTCCTAGCAAAATGGTTCCCACGAAGCAAGAAATTTGAGCTTTGGGACAAAATTTTCTTCTTCAAGCAATTACCGAGGGAATAACTACATGAGGCATGCTCTAGATTCAAGATGTATTTGGTGAGATCATCGAATTGTGGGTTTCCGGAAACTATTTTGTTGGAGAAGTTTTATATGGGTTTGGTATGAATCAATCTATAGCCAAAAAAAGTGGCGGATAGATCGTTCAGGGATAAAGCATTTGCAAGGGTCACTCAAATCTTCAATAAGACGGTTGAACACAACCAAGCTTGGCATTCAGAAGACACCACGGGTGGAATCTCATATGGAACCCCTTATTTGACCAACATAGTTAAGAAGAATCAAGAAAGAGATCAATTAATTGTCGGGCTTGCTACCAATGTCAATGTGTTAACAAAAATGTTCACTGAAAGCCAAATAAAGAAAGTGAATCTTGTGGAAGATGTGCAATCAATGTCAAATCATAACTACCATCATCAAGAAAGCCAACAACAAGGCTATCCTCCCATGCAATACGAAGAAGCAAATTATGTTAACAATTTACAAGGAGGATATCAAAGACAAAACTATCAAGGATCGGGGCCACAACACCAATGGAGACCTAACCAGCAAGGGTAAGGTAACCAACAATTGAGAAATGACCAAGGTAGTTCTAATCAAGGAACTTGGAGCAACAACAACAAAAATTTTGCAAACCGAAGTTTAAACCCCTATGTTCCACCAAAGGGGCAATATTCTAACTCTCAATATTGGAAGGAGAGTTCTTCAAGCAATTCCAAGTTGGAGAACATGCTTGAAAGAGTATTGCGAAATCAAGAAAGGTCAGACACTTCAATAAAATATATGACCGAGATTGTGGGTTCTCACACCACATCTATTCAAAA